AACAGACTGCAAGCAAGTCTAAAACTGTTTGTAAATGACAGTGGTGTGTCCATGGTCAAACTACATTATATTTTGTTTTTTCAGTTTAAAAAGAACTTTTATTAGAGATGTGTTTCTAGAAGAGAAAATACAGTACATGTTTTTTAAATAAAAACTCGTATTTAAAACACCCTAATATTAATAATTTTTTTTTGTTCTCAAGGGCTTTTCCAAAGTGCAGATATGAAGACAAATGCCGATATATTCATCCAAATTGTAAATATGACGCCAGATGTAATAAAACAGATTGTCCATTTACACATGCCAGTAAGAGAATGTACCCACCCTTATATTCACCCAAACAGCCACCACCGGCGCCACCCCCCTCACCAGGTATGTAAACACAGTGAATTGTCCATAGTGTGTACGGTATTATCTACTGTATCTTGGTTTACTGAATAATTTGTTGATGCCCTTAGTGATGTCTAAAAGCTCACTTTGTTTTCGCTTTAATCAAGAAAGAAATATGATTTGAAGTACCTTGTTAAAGCTAAACTGTTTCTAATTTTTTAAAACTTGAATATTTTGTGAAACAAATTTGTCGATATAAAAGGAAAATCATTTAAAATGACTGCATATGTGAAAGAATTTTGGAAAAAATGTGAATACAAAATATTTTATCTGACATAAGCATGTGACGTATTTTCAGAAAACTTAATTCCAATAAAGACTTTGCTACAATGTATTTTAGTAGCGCATACATGTATACCCTTACATAAGTAAATGACAGAGGTGTGTTGTGTCCATGGCCAAATGACCCTGTAAACAAGAAATGCTATTTTGAGTTTGTATGCAGTTCTATTGGAGCAAATATGGTATTCCTTTTAAAGCATAAATGTTGATTTATATGTTGGATACTTTAATAATGTGTACAACATCGGTATACTGCAAGTCTATGATACCACCATAACTCTCTCTATTTGACAGTTATCAGACCAGCTGGCATCCATTATCCACTGACAGTATCATTGCCTCCACATCAAGTATTGTGTCGATTCTTCCCAGAGAATTGCAAAAAAATGGACTGTCCTTATTTACACCCAAAGGTTTGTTCATCTATCATTTTTGCTATTGATGTCACTATTTGCTATTTTTGACACAAGTACATTGTCAGAATGTACACATATATTCAAGCTATACGTTTGATAGGTTAGTGTAGTGGTTTTTTCATCATCATATGATCAAAATGTTTAGTTGAATCAAAGAAAGCTTAGAAAGAACTCCCAGCTGGAAATTGTTGAATTTTTGTGCAAATTAGGTAATTTCAACAGATTAACCAAAACTTGATCAGTTTTGCACATTATCACAAAGCTTCTATTTACCAAGATTTATTAATAAATCTGATGAGTGATTCTTGAAATATCAATGAAATAGACATATTCATACTTACATACACATGGTACCTGCAAAGACTTTATTGTATGCTTCACATACAAGAATCAAAAACAGAGTCGGCGATATCCTTGCTAAAACTGAACCTTTGTTGACGAAATCTATGGTACTTCCATTCAACATGCATAGACCTGTTTGATATTCAGATACAGTAGAAATATTTATTTTCACTGGCATTAAAATTTCATTATTTTTGATAGTTAAAGCATACTCAGCTCTTGAATATGGCAGGGATACAATGATTTTTTTTCTCCAAAACGTATTCGAAATGGCTGACTGGTGGCAATTTTGTTTTAACAAATGCTAATCCAAAGAAATATCTCTGTATGCTCTGTAAGCGATCTCATTCAACACAACTACACAAAAAAATGCACTAATAATCTGTCTCCAGTTTGCATCATGTCTGTCATATGAGTGCCAGTCTTAATGATAAGACATGAATGTATCGGTTGTCGTACCATCAGCAAAAGATGTAACACTACTGATGTAATCTACCATCACACTAATATGCTAACCACACCAAATTCAACAATTGACACATTTAAATAGGTCATTCTCTTTTTTCGCAATTGCATGAAATTGTGCTTTTTACACTAAATCTATGTTTTTGGGGAGGGTGTCTGGTGTTTAGCTAATAAGAGATCACTTATACCAACAGGGACTGTGTCATTTTCAATAATTTGTTGATTTTATGTTATTATTGCAGACTTGTAGGTATGGATTAAAATGTACACGACCAGACTGTAAATACCACCATCCAAAGATAACAATGGGAGATGCTTTAAAATGGGTAAAACCAAGTGCAAATCGGTGAGTTTCTTGCTTGTTCTTACCATGCACTGTTGTACGTGTTCTAGTGGCTATTGAAAATATGGGTTACTGGTAATCGAGTCGCATAAAAGCATTTGTATCTCTGATCTGTATTTATTACCATATTACTATGGTGATCAGTTGTATGGTTATAGCTCAAAACTGTTACAATCCATGTATTGATGGACTGCATCAATTCCACTGTACAGGAACATACTGGCTCAAATGACTGTGGACTCGTGAATGAAAGGAACACCTAATTACCAGCATCATCAGCAAACTGGTGTCTGGAGATCGTTATCAGATTAGGCCATCCCATTTTCAGTGGGGAGCAAAGATATTTTTAGAGAGTGATTGATATATAAATTTTCCATAACATTTGTTATCATTGTTGTAATTTTAATTTATCACATTTAAATAGCGCAAAACGAGAAAAAAATTAAAACATTTTGCTTAAAGTAAGGACTTGAGAGTGCGCCCCTCTCAGTAAATACTATTGCCTCCTTTTGAGAATGAGGTGGCCCAAAGTGTTTCAAATTGATCTCCACACATCAACACAGGCAATTCGTTAGCAAGTTTGCTGACGATGCTGGTAATTAGGTGTTCTTTTCATTTACGCGTCCACAGTAATTAAAAGGTGATTTTATGAGTATTGATCAAGTGGGGGTGGGGGGTTAAACTCGATATTTGTCACAGAGGGGAATTAAACCTAGCCAAGCTTTCTTACTGTGCCCACATTCTTTTAGACTAGGGTTATTTTATAATATCTCCATAATACGGTATACTGTATGTCCTTACAAACTCTTCAATGGTGTTTTTAATAAATAATACAAAATCTAAACTAATAAAAGTAATATAAATCAATTTCTACACACAGGTCAACTAGTTCCAGATGATTCATTGTCTTCAGAGAAACCTCTCTTTTCGTTAGCTGCCACGTATTTGTGAAAAAGGGTGAAAATGCTGTTTATTTCAGACAAGTTTTCATCTTAAGCAACATCTTAAACATGTTACACTTGTCCTATCAACTTGAAGAATGTAATTTACCAAGTCAACAGTGTTTTCTTTACTAAGGTTTATTTACAGAGTCTTCATACTTCAATCTATTCCTGGTTTAACAGTCTCTAGTGACTTTTCATAATACATGTACATTCTAACAGTATTGTACTGCAGAGAAATCACTATGTTAACATTTTGCAACTCAACTGCAGTACATTTCTTACCACTTTGGTGTAGATACTTAGATGAGTTATGAAAAGCTGTAGGATGTTTTTTTTAACGAACAATTGTGTAAGCCGTTTCCAAGAAAATTGTGTAATTGCATTATACCTTACTCCACTGGCTGGGCACACTGTTTGGAGGTTATTCCACTAGCTGGGCACACTGTTTGGAATTTATTCCACTAGCTGGGCACACTGTTTGGAGGTTACTCCACTGGCTGGGCACACTGTTTGGAGGTTATTCCACTAGCTGGGCACACTGTTTGGAGGTCACTCCACTAGCTGGGCACACTGTTTGGAGGTTACTCCACTGGCTGGGCACACTGTTTGGAGGTTACTCCACTAGCTGGGCACACTGTTTGGAGGTTACTCCACTAGCTGGGCACACTGTTTGGAGGTTACTCCACTGGCTGGGCACACTGTTTGGAGGTTACTCCACTAGCTGGGCACACTGTTTGGAGGTTACTCCACTAACTGGGCACACTGTTTGGAGGTTACTCCACTAGCTGGGCACACTGTTTGGAGGTTACTCCACTGGCTGGGCACACTGTTTGGAGGTTACTCCACTGGCTGGGCACACTGTTTGGAGGTTACTCCACTAGCTGGGCACACTGTTTGGAGGTTACTCCACTGGCTGGGCACACTGTTTGGAGGTTACTCCACTAGCTGGGCACACTGTTTGGAGGTTGACCTTGAACTTATTGTAAAACAGCCAATAGAATTAATTAATATTGGTAATATCCATATTTGCCTCAGTGAAGTAAGGGTGTATTGTAGAACACTGCACACATTTTTAATTGTTTTGATATGACACATGTAAATTGTGATGTGATACTAATCACATGTTCTGTATAAAGGCGATTCCAATGAGCAATTACCGTAGTTGTCCAAGTATAAACCCCTCTGGGAAAACGACAAATTGGGGGGGGGGGGCTTTATAAACGGATAAGAGTTAAAACTTCTCCCGAGCTATAATTTATGCATAAACAAATCGTTGTGTGTACGATACTAGAATGTCTTCATCGACTAGCATCGTCCAAAATAAATGGCTTGTTGTAAATTTAGAGGGGGGCTTATCCTCGGACAACTACGGTAGTACAACAAATAAGAATACAAGTTGGGACTTAATAGAGTCAGGATGCCTTTAATGAACTAAATTGGAGTTTAATTATGAATAAAAAATTTATGGGTAGTTATGTGCTTGATTTTTGTGATAATGTATAACGTATATTCAAATGCCCATTATTAAAATTAATTTGTTTTGCCTTTATAACTTTGCTGCAGTCTTTTGTTAGTCCCAATTCAGATGTAGCCCAGAAATGGGACGAGTGTTTTGAGTTCCACTCATTCCAAGTTCTTCAGCAGACCTACCTTGAGTGATTTTATTAAAAGGTGTTACAGTGACATAATTGTTAAACGTATACACATCAATGTGTCCTTGTAGTCAATATCATTTGACCAGTTGGTGGCCATTTTAGTTTCCAAATGAGCCAAGTAATGCTCTATTTGGTAAATTTGTATGCAAACTAACTTGGGAAAACTGGGACTTCCCTTTACTGACTGGTAACCAAAAGCGCATGTTGGAGACCCAGTCTTGTGCGCCTTCTTACGATGTAAATGTAATAAACTTTCTTTATAAAGAACTAGAACGTAACACACCATTGAATTGTTGCGATATGAAATCGTGTATTACTATTTTTTTTTTTTTGAAAACAAACATTTAAATGTTCACCTCTCCTATTTTCAAAATAATTGTTCATAAAAAAAGATGCAACGCTCAGTTCGATCAGAGTTCAATTTTAATTGTTACATTCAAAATGACTAGGTAATCGCTGTCTGTATGCCGATGCAAAGCCTTATGAGTGTGAAATATGTGACAAGCGTTTTATTGTTAAAAGCAGCATAAAAAGACATGACAGTACATACATGTACTGATGAGCCTTCATTACAATGCATTTTTCTGAATTTCAGAATTCCATCCATGTCATTATTTTAGCTAAGAATACTGTGATTCCAATGACTGAACATTTTCTGTTCTGATAATGTTCAAATCTTGATTTCAATGTTAAATCTCATCAATTTGATTTTAGTATATGTCTTGTACATTTAAAGTGAATACGGCTCTAATATTTATACCGGTACATTAGAACATGCTAATTGTGGTATCTGAGTTGGTCACAGTAAGGCCAAACATTTATTATCCCTTGTTTCGCGAACCTGCCGAATGAACAGGAGCCGAAAATGAAATAAAAATAAAATTTTATTTCAGCGTAATTTTTCGCGCCCGATAACTGCTAAAAAATATTATTTTTATCTTCATTTTTTTAACGTCTGTCGCATAACAAATCCAATTTGAATTTGTGTGCGAGTATCATGATCAAAGTACCAAAGTCTCGTGCAGATGAGAAACAAGGTTATACATGGAATAAAATGTTATTTAATTTCTTCTCTCCGATCAATGATCTCACTCACAATTCTTTGAGAATCACACAAATCTAATGGGAAAAAAGAATTAATTTTCAGAGTTTCAGAAATTTTACTCTTCGTTGTGAAGAATAAAGGTAACAAGGAAGGCTACAAAATTGAGATACAATCATTTCCAGAAACTCTGTCTAGAACTCAAGACGTGAGCACAGATTAGATGCAATGTTTGTTACAAAGGAAGCAAAGTTGGACTATCACTAATCAAATACAACTAAAAGATATCAAAAGCAGAAACTATTATATAATATATAAAGGGGCATGTACATAATTACCTAAAACAAATGAAGTATATAAATAATTAAAAAATAAAGCCTTGTTACTGAGAAATTTAACAACATGCAAAAAAATAAAACAGAAAATACATCTATGTATGCATTCATATACTAAAACATTGTGGAGGTGTAAACTTATATAGAATAACAATGAGTATACAAATGTCAGTAAGACAATTTAAGTGCTTATCCTGGAATTTAAACAAAATTTTTATAGTAATTATAAAATTAGTTTTCAGCCAAATTTTGAAAAAATATTCACTAATAATGGGTGAGATTACACACTGCATATAAAATGTCCAATTTGGAAACTGGTATCGAGTAGTTTCCACAAGTAACTTGCCATTTTTAATTCTCATAAAAATTAAAGAGGTTTACATTATGTAATTTATTACGTACAACGTCAATTTATTTTATTATCACTTGTAGACCAGCTGACAGCATTATCGTGTTCAGAATTACCAGTTTATTCAGACAAGTCCGTATCATGCAGTAAGATCGGTTCTTTGGTAAATTCAGGTGTTCTCCTTTCCACCATAGAGGGCAGTTAGCACTCTTTGGAGGATGTCCAACATATATATATTTGGTTGTCCAGGATTCGATTCTCGAATTTAGATATTTTCAGCGGCTCTTCGACCACCGTTCTACACCAGTTCACACAGTGGTGCGCGTCTTAGCAACGTGGAACGTCTTGTGACGTAGCTCCGCCCCGAGGATACATAGCTAGGGTGATCTTGTTGCACTGTTCAGGGGAGTCTCAACAACCATCCCTAAGTATTGCTGCAGGTTATGCAGCTCTCTTGGTCGTGGTATACGTTGCGGGGCGACGAACGACGACGCAACGTATTAAATATCAAAATAGCTTAAGTGGCCAATAAGAGCTGCTAAACTGCTAAAACCGTTTTTCTGTATATTAAGTGTTTTGCCAATTTCCTTAGACTGTGTACGCCACCACATGCGTGTTCGTGTCATCGTACACATATTAAACATAGTTATTTGAAACAGTCCCGGTAAATGTGGATTTATTTAAAGGGCGGCGGTCGTAGTGCCGCGTCCTGTTCGATATGGGACTCATAGCGACGTATACAATGCGTGTAAAATACATGGTTTATTTACATGAAATTCGAACACGCGCTACGCGACGACCACCGCGCTTTAAATAATCAAATAATATTAACATTTAGTCAACCTGATTTCTGTTTTTAATTCATCGTATCATCAAAAATATGTCTTCAATCACAACCCGAGAATCACAGTTAGTCTATCGCAATACTTGAATGATCAGTAAAGCGCACATGACTGAAATGATTTGTTTTGAAACCAATATTAGCACTACACGAGACTGTTGTAATGTCCTATAGTTAATACTAGAAAACAATATGTTCCGATAATTGCCTCTATTCTTTGAATATTTGTTTTATTGTTACTGTAGTACTAGATAGCCTGCATTTATATTGTAGTTACCATTAAATAAACAAAACGTATCTTCTTAGGTCAATAAAACAAGTTGAGATTACTCATATGACCTATTATTCGCATCTTGATATATTAACGCTAATCCCATTCTCTGAAAAATGTAATACTGCTAACTTAAAAGAAAGGTCTCAAAAAATAAAGATAGTGTACAACCCCAGTATGCCATGTACAATCTTATATCACTAATCACTATCTTATGTTGAGTTATTTTTTCCCCCGTAAGGGCTTATTTTTATTAGCTAGCGGTATGAATACTAGTATGCTCAAGACCGTTGACTTTTTGTTGTTATTTCGCGGAACTACTACTAGTGTTGACTTCGTGTGGTGCTGATGACACAGATGTCAGCAATCGGCAAGAACTGGGCATAATTTTAATCTTCAAGTGATATGGAATCTGAAATGAGCTGGGTTGTTTCTATTATGCTCATATGAAATGTACTGGATGATGTAAAATATGTGTCTCAGGCTGGTATGGGTGTTGATAGTTATGCGCTGTGTACATATTCTCGTCATTTTAAAAATTGTAGGCTTTGGACCACAAATTATGGGAATTCACAGGCAGCTATGTAGGCTTACAAAGTTCATCGCACACTTCAAGTTTAATATTCATATACTAAATAGCGCCACCTGTGGTGACGTTGAGCCAGTGAATGCGACAACGCAACTTTTTTTCACGCGCGGATAAGTCTGATTTTCTACATTCTCGTGCGGCGTGTCGGAAAGGTTGAAATGTTGTTTTTTTTCGAACAATTTTGCCGAACGTGGTGAGTACATTTCAGTTTTAGTAAAGGAACTAATTAGAAGGGAATTAAACTAGATATTCAACTTCTTTACATGAACAGCGTGAAAGTTCAATGACATTGCTTTGCGCTTATGGGGGTGAAAATGTTGAGGTTTCGTACTTCAGCCACATTCTGTCAAAGTCGAGTGACTGTGATTCAGCTAAAATTACACAAACGATTTGAGATCGTTTAGACGAATTTGTAATATACGTTTTAAGGTCAGCTGATGTCATTAGTATTTTTGGTACTCAGATTGAAATTGCACTGCGAACTCGAGTGTTCTCGTGGCAGACAGTCCCGTCGTCAGCAGACGACGTCGCTCAAGACCGGAGTCCATGGTCTGTCGGAATACAATCAGCCATGATAGTAGCGAATGTTTAAAAGAAGCGCATGCTAGCGGAAAATATGATTTAGTTTGGCTGCAATAGAATCGTGATGCAAAAAAGAAGACAGAACATGTTATTTTCATTGTATTTTATTGATCGATTTTCTCGGAACGGTGACCCTATATTTTTTTTTTCATTCTTGTAACATGATATATCAAATATGTGTAATAATAAAGAAAATGACAATATGTTTGGTTGTCGCGCTACGTCCTGTCGTAGCCGACACGACGCGTGTACAATAAAATGTTTGTTTACATACAATTCAAACACAGAATTGCTCAAGTTGATCTCCATGATTCTAACGAAAAAATGGCCTCTAAAGCAGTGGATTACGTCTGTTAATTTATAAACTTACTTCGTAGTCTAACAGATTTGCTTAACCTTATTTTCACGAATCTTATCAACGACATAATGTATTTTATATACCCAGTTTATTTTGAAGATCAAAGTATTATTGCTGTTTTTTTAATATTCTTTTTTCAGAATAACGTTATTTGAACTGAAATTGATGGCAGAACTAGGAAGTGGAGACACAGCTGTGGTACCATCACTTGCTGTAAGTCATATCTGCCTTGGTTGTTATAATGGTGTTACAGTTATATTATCCATCGGTATAGATATATTGGTTCAAGCTTGAAGCTAGATTGGAATATTCTTGCCTTGTTTGTGTGTTGATTTGTATGTTTGTCTCGGCCGCTTCTACCATTTAGCACTGACCAAAGGAATGCACAAAAACAACACTAAAACTGGTACTGTTTGCCCCAAAATTGTCTCCTTGTACAGTTTCTGCAGTATTGTTTTCAAACTATGGCATAACACTGCCAGATACATGCTCCAAAAACATGTTTACCATATTTTTTGAATTTTGTTTCATTTCTAAATATGGCAATCCTTCAAATTTGTAATTTGTTAGTCCCCGTTCGGACGCAGTCCGAAAACGGGGACTTATGTTTTGCCCTGTGTGCGTCCGTCCGTCCATCCGTCCGTCCGTCTGTGATCACC